ACACCACACACACACACCACACACACACACACACACACACACACACACACACATACACACACACACTTCTCGCCTACCTTGGAGTTGGTGGGAAGAAATGCATCCCCATGCCCATGCACACACAAGAAAACTGAGGCTGGAGCCAGGAGAGGGGCTTGTCTATGGCAGATGAACCGCAAATGTATAGCAGGGCTGGAACCAGAACCTTTGTCTCCTGTCCACTGGGCCATCTCCCAAACGACCTCTGTTTCCAACCCAGGACAAGTGGGGTTCTGGGGGAGGAGGAAGCAAGGACTGATGCTTCAGGCTTGATCTCTGTCATCTGAGGTTAGTCTTTAGGAACACTTTGGATTAGACAGCCAGGGTAGAAGGTGGTGGATGGGCGCAGATGCTGAGGCCACTCTCTCCCGAGGCTCTAAACCAGCAACCTAGACCTTATTTCCTCTAAGTCACCACCTATGTTGCCCAGCAAGCAGGGCCACCGCGTAGATGAAGCGAAGAGGCCACCAGACACACCTCCTAGGTCTCCGTGACTCTGTAGGAATTGGGGCAGGACTGAAAATCCAGGGCCAGGACCCCGGGGAATGGGAGAGTTGAGATCCTTGAATATTTCATCAGCACTTCAGCTCCAAGTGAAGCAGCAGCCAACTTACAGCTCATGGATAATTTATGATCCCAACAGAGAACCTGGAAGTAGCGAGGGGGAGGGGCACTGAGGGGGAGGCAGGACCAGGCTGTGGACAGGACAAGTGATGGAGAGAGACGCCATGGGGATGGGAGTGTGTATGAGAGGTCGGGGGCAGGGTCTCCCGGCACCAGAGACTTTTCCAAGTTTGAGGATACCAATATATTAAAAATAAATAAACAACTCCGAGATGCTGGAAATAACTACTAAAGGTTAGAGTCACAGGACAAGCATTTTCTGACTCCCAGGCCTGACCCTGTGTCTGTGACGGAGTGTATAATCTCCTCCTGAGATAACAAAAAAATGTAATGGTTCTGTGTGACTGTGAGGCCCTCAAATAACCTACTCCACACTTGGGCAGGCCAGGGAGAAAAACTAGACTTCCCACTTGGACTGGCTGAGCCATCTCTTGTCAGCTTCCTCCTCCAGGAGGACCCTAAAAATTTAGCCAAGTAGTTAAGGGCAAAGGAGGCAATCAGGTATGGCCACCTCTGACTTCATCCAAGGAACATGATATTACACCCTCTTCCTCCTTTTTTTCCGGATAGAGTTTCACAAAACCTAGGCTGGCCTCAGAGCTGCCATGTCGTTGAGGATGATCTTGAACTTTTGTTTTGTTTTGTTTTTTGAGACAGGGTTTCTCTGTGTAGCTTTGCGCCTTTCCTGGATCTCAATCTGTAGACCAGGCTGGCCTCGAACTCACAGAGATCAGCCTGCCTCTGCCTCCCAAGTGCTGGGATTAAAGGTGTGCGTCATCACCGCCCGGCGATCTTGAACTTTTAATCCCCCTGCCTCCATCCCTGGAGTGCTAGGATTACAGTTCTGTACCATCCTACCTGGTTTATGTAATACTAAAAATGGAACCCGAGAGCTCCAGGCATGCTAGGCAAACTCTCCGAGCTACACCCCCAGCCTCACAAATTTCTTTCTTTTTAAAGGAAAGCTGGGGAAGGTGACCCCCAATGGAAAACGGCAAGTTCTCTTGGCCTCCGCTTTCCTCATGACCTTAGAGAATTCTTCCAGGTCGTGTAGAGGTCAGGCATATGTATGTGGGGAGAGGGCAAACAAGCACACCCTCCCCCCTGCCTCAGTTTCCCCACCTGAGTCATGGGCAGAAAAGGCGCTCCTATACCAAGGGCTGTTTCAGGGGACAGAAGAGATGCTATCCAGGAGCCTTGGCGCCGGCTGAGACCCAGGGAGGTAGTGATTATGAGGTGATGGGCCCACAGGCTGGGCCTGGGATTTCAGTTTCTGCTAGGGCTGTTTGCTGGGCTCCCAGCAAACTCCCATCCAATCCCTTCATCTTGGAACTTGATTGTAAAAGGAGCCAACTAGAGCTGTGTGTTAGCCCAGATCAGAGTTGGCCCCAACTCTGGAGCCCCTGGAGTCTGACCCAGACTCTTGGGGCCTCAGTTTCCCCATCCATGAAATCAGGGCCATCTTCCAGGGCTGACCTTGGAGAGATACTGTAAAAGAGGGCCTGGAGGAAGGCCAGAGTGGGGAGACAAGGATGATGGCCCCCGAGGCCCTGTGGGCTTTGTTAGTCTAGTAAAGTTATTAGCTCTGGAGCCAGCTTGACATGGAGAAGGGCCCCTTCTTTGTCCCCAGAAAAGACTCTATTCTCAGACACAGGCAACATCCGATAAGAATTCTTTCTTTTCTTAATTTTTAGCTTTAAAAATTGTATGATGGGCTGGAGAGATGGCTCAGGGGTTAAGAGCACTGGCTGCTCTTCCAGAGGTCCTGAGTTCAATTCCCAGCAACCATATGGTGGATTACAACCATCTATAATGACAGAACACTTTATACATAATAAAAAATATTTTTTAATAAATAAATAAAAATTGTATTATATGTATGGGTGTTTTGTCTGCAAGTATGACTGTGCACCACACGTGTGCAGTGCCCCCAAAGGACAGAAGGGGCAGCAGATCCCCTGGAATTGGAGTTACAGGCAGTTGTACAGAGTTGCCATGTGGGTGCTGGGAATCAAACCCAGGTCCTCTGGAAGACCAGCCAGTGCTCTTAACTGTTGAACCATCTCTTGAGCCTCTTTAAGTATTCTTTTCAAGGCTGATCCCATCATAGTAGGTTGTCAGTACTGGCATTAGCGCCATGAAAGTTGTAAGCAGTACCCCACTGCTAAATTTGACTGGCTGAAAAAAAAATATTTTCAGGCTAAGAAGGGAATTTATTCCTTTGGAATTTACTGGAATTTGGGGGGGGGGGGCTAATGGAACTCTCTTTCTTCCACTGATCATAACTCTCAGGATTCAGGAAGCAGCTATCCTAAGTGTCCCCAACAACTCTGTCCCAGGCCACACAACATAAGACCTAAATCCCATGGGGCTGACATCAGGACTCTATTCCCCCACTCCTTCATTTTATCTTCCCACCTTCTTTTCTTCCCCTCTTCTCTTCCCCACTCTCCCTTTGTAATTCCTTATAGGCTAAACATAGTAGGCGCTCTATAGCCCACCGTCCTCCCTGGCCCCCGCTGCCAGCCCAAAGCCCAGGGCCTCTCCCTTCCTTCAGACCATAGCACTTCACTTCCCCTTCTCCGAGCATCACGTGGACTAGAGGGGGCAGTTTTGAGGGTGGTAACAATTATCAAGTACCTGGTACTTGGGAGGCACTTCGCATTACAGAGTTCTGCTTTCATATGGATGGATCCAGAACATTTCTGTAGCTTCTCTTGAGTTTGGTCTGATTGTGTGAGGTCACATCCTGGTGTTTTCTGCCCATCCCACACCTCCACCCAGCATACTGTTGAGAATGGCAGAGCCGGTGGGGTGTTGTAGGAAGGGTGAGTGGAGGTGAGAACATCTGGACTGGGTGGGGCTGGGAGAGTGGGCTGGAGGGCCCACGCGGAGACTGGCTGGGACTCTGTCTCACCGGTTTGGGGAGCCAGCTGGCTGGGCAATGGGAGAGGCTCACATTAGGGAGAGATGGGAGGGGCTGGCAGCTCCCTGAGAAAGGGGAGCTGAGTGAGGCATGCTGGACTGGCTGAGCACCTGGATGGGATTCCTAGGGGTAGCCAACTAATACACACACACACACACACACACACACACACACACACACACACACACCACAAATACATTCAGATGCATACTCAAACACAGTCACACATGTAAACTGAAACCCTTCAGCATTCTGGGTCCCTCTTACCTGGCTCTATTTTCCTATCTTATATATCTAGCATAACTCAATTTTTGTTTTTAGATAGGGTCTTCCTGTGTAGCCCTGGCCAGTCTGGAACTTCTGCCTCCTGAGTCCTGGAATACCAACAATTTATATAAGATCTAATGGTTACCACCTGCCTCCCGTGGAACAGCAGCTCCAAGAGGGCGAGGTGATGGGCCTGTTTTGCTCATGATCATGTGCCTAGCATTTGCAGCATGCCAGGTACATAAAAGGCACTCAATGTGTGGATGAATGAAGCCTTTCCAAAACACACGTAGTCACACACACATATATGGACAGGTACATACACACTGAAAGACACCTGGGTGCCACAGGCTCACAGCTGCCACAGATAACCTCAGACCTCTGCATGCAAATGCACACACACACACACACACACACACACACACACACACACACCTCTCTTTGCACTCTGACCCACAAGCACTTTCCATACCCACACCCAGCAGTCCAGATTCCAGAGCTGGTGCTCACAGCAGCACACATCTGTGCAGACATGCTCAAGCTCATCTTGCTCCCTGCACCAGACCTGGAGGGCAGCCCCTCCCTGGAGCAGGGGGTGGGCCATCAGATGCTGACGGCAGCGTAACAGCCTGGGAGGGTGAGGATGGACAGAGCCATCCTGGTACCTGGAAGCTGTCAGGAAACCACTCTCCTATGACAGAGATGGAGATTGGAGAGAGGCTACCAGTTCCCTACCCTGAACCCAGTTCTACCTCTAAAGGCCAACAGACTTGGACCAGAGCCTAGGGGAGAGGTAGATGGGATATCAGTCCTCTAGGCAACAGAGGGGTGTGGGTCTCAGGACAGGTCATCTGGCACCTGGGAACAGGGGTGTGGCAGTGAGAACTGTATGCCCTTCCCTGGGTCAACTCCACCCTCCATTTTAGAGGCCTCTGCCCCCTGGGAGTTTGGCGAAATGTAGAGTAAGACAGACTGTCACCTTCTTGACCTTGACACTGTGGTCCTTGTGAAAGTGCCCCCTTTTGCAGACCCTAACTCCCTGCAATGGACCGGCAGTAGGAGTCCTGGTTATAGGACAACATCTTTGCCCCTGCTCCTCCAGACTCCTGTCCCGCAGAGCCAATGCAAGGTTGGACAAGTGAACTCTGACGGTCCCACTGCATTTCAAGAAGTCTGAAGTCTTCAAACCATTTTCCTAGGGTTCTTCTGGCTACTGAGCTGGGGTTCCAGCAACAGCCAGACTGGGCATGCTCTAATTCTAGGGAAATTCCAGGAAAGAAAAACATGTAGTGAATGTCTTTAGATCCCCTCTTCATATCGCTATAAGTAAGCCCCTGGAACTAGAAAAATACAGACGTCCCTGGTGAGAAATCTGAAACCACGGTCTTCCCAAGGCTGCAGGGAATACTGTGTCTTCACGCCCCCTGGTGGCATGTCTGAGGTTGCACACAGCTAAGAGGGATCCCCTGCTCTCAATCAGATGTCAGGGTTGTTGAGGGTGCCAAAGGCCACAGGGTACACCGGCTGGCATTAGACAGATAAGGGATGATGGGCGGAGGGAGGGAGGGAGACAAGGACCTAGACCCACACAGCTCAACCTTGGAGACTGGCCTCAGGTGCAGTGATTCATTCAACAATAAACGTTTATTGAGCACCAGAACTCCAAGTTCTTCCCAAACCCTCTGCAGCTCAGACAGAGCTGTCACCTGGCCGGCTTGGTCCTGTGAGACGCAAGCCAGAAGCTGACAACGTCCTCAGGAGGATGTCCACCTTAGGGAAGCAGAAAGGGGGAGGAGGGACCCCCAACAGCTCACCTGCCAACCAGCCACATGGTCACCCTTCTGCAGGACACAGAGAGGTAGGGTGGAGTCTGGGCCAACTGTGTCCCTTTTAAGGTTTTTCTTCTTGTTTCATTTTGAGACAGGGTCTCACTATGTAGCTTCGACTGGCCTCTGGAACTCACTATGTGGGCCAGGCTGGCCTCGAACTCAGAGATCTGCCTGCCTCTGCATCTCAAGTGCTGAGATTAAAGGTGAGCGCCTCCACCGCACGCAGCTGTGTTTGTTTGGAAACAAGACCTCACTATGTAGCCTCAGCTGGCCTGGATTCGTAGGCCAGGCTGGCGCGGAACTGAGATCTGACTGCTTCGGTCTCCCCTGGGTGCTGGTGTCAATGGCGTGCACCGCCATACCCAGCCATTTTAAGTTTTAATAAATAGTTCTTGCTCCTAGTCCAGTATCCTGAGTTCGAGGGGTGCACTAGGTCACCATTCTCTCTCTCTCTCTTTTTTTCTTTTTGGTTTTTCTTTTTTTCTTTTTTTTTTTTTTTTGGTTTTTCGAGACAGGGTTTCTCTGTGTAGTTTTGCGCCTTTTCTGGAACTCACTCTGTAGACCAGGCTGGCCTCGAACTCACAGAGATCTGCCAGCCTCTGCCTCCCGAGTGCTGGGATTAAAGGCATGCCCACCACCGCTGCCGGGCTCTTTTTGGTTTTTCAAGACAGGATTTCTCTGTATAACAGTCCTGGCTGTCCCTGATCTCGCTCTGTAGCCCAGGCTGGCCTCAAATTCAGAGATCCACCTGCCTCTGCCTCCCGAGTGCTGGGATTAAAGGCGTGCGCCACCACTCTTATGCCAGTTCAGGCTCTGGTTCTGAAAAGGAAGGAGAGAGCAAGGGGTTAGTCCTGCCCACTCCAACAAGTGTCTTGAGTACTGACCTAGCAGGAGGGTAGATCACCAACAGGCTGGAACACCCTAGAGCAGGGTGGCAGCACCCACCCACACTCCAGATTGGCACCATAGCCCGGGGAGAACTCCGTCCCTAGCCCTTCATCATAGTCCATTACTGACCAGCCTCAGCCTCATCGCCCTTGGCATCTGGCTCCTGCCACCAGTCGGCATAGAGGCCCTCTTCATAGTCTCCCTCCCCTTCAAACTCGGCATCAGACGGGGGTTCTTCTGCCTCCCCTGGTTCATCCGGGGGCGATTCTGTCTCCTCCAGCTCCATCTAGAGCAGCCCAGGGTTGTGGGGGGAGAAACTGAGTCACAGCAGGCCCATATCCATACATAGGCTCCCCTTCAGGTCACAACACTCCCCCTACCCCATCTTTCAGTCCCCACCCACTTCAGCAGGTTTCCTGGTGTCGTCCTGGCAGGAGGTGAGCAGACAGGCCCGAAACCCCCTCCCCAGTGCCAGCATCTAATATGAGGGCAATGTCAGGGTTTGTCCTGTTGGGTCCCATTCTGAAACTGCTTCCCGGAGTAACAGCATCGCGGGGAAGGCGGGGTGCTAGCGTCAGCATGGCAGGCTTGCACCACAGCCCCACCTCTGGCTCCACACCCGGTGAGAACTCTGCTAGTCTGTGCATTTTGTCTTCTGGCACTGCGGCCCTGCCAGGAACACCTTTGCAACCCTGACCTGGATGGGCCTGTGGATTCCTCCAAAGCCACATGTCCACTCCAGGCTGAGGCCTTCAAGCCTCACCCTGGCCGGTCGGTACCCACGCTGGCCTCTGAAGCTGCACGGTCGGTCTACGCCTCCCTCACGAGAACCGCTGGGAGACAGACTGTTCCTCTCAGCCACTTCCTGCCACCCAAGCCTGACGTCTGTCAGACCGAAAGTGGCAGTCGTCGAAACTGCTGCGCATCCTCCCTGAGCATCTACCGGGTGCCAGGTGCGTGCCTGGTGCTTTAAATGATCTCATTTAATTGGCACCACCATGAAAGTCAAAGGGCATGCTCCTCGTCTCGTGGATGAAGGTGTGGGAGTTTGCTAAGTGACTTCCAGACCGATGCTAAGGCCACCCGGCTGGTAAAGGACAGAGCAGGGGTGAAGAGCACCTAAGCCAGCCCACATGTCACAATGCAGACCCTGCTGCTGAGCTCACTGAAGGTGGGGTACAGTGAATGTACTGAGGGGTGAATGAACAGGCTGCACAGCAACCCCCCAAGAAACCCAGGCCGCCAAACCCTCACATGAACTGGTGCATACTATGGCTCTTCCCAGCATCATTCACTCATTCATTCGGCCCTTTATCCACAGGCTCAAACTCCTGTGAATGAGCATAATGCCAGGTGCAGTAGCAGAGCTGGGAGATAATTTAGTCTCCTGTCCTGGGATGCAGTTGTGGAGGAAGCCATCTGGCCGTGGTGAGATGGATGAGGACAATGAGGTTACTCCAGGTCTCAGGCCAGGTGGCCAGGCAGGTGGGGAGGCCAGTGACACTCCGGAAGAAAGCCAGGACATCCAGCAAGGGCTCCCTAGAGGAGCTACCATTTGAGCTGGGCCCAGGAGGCATAGGGTCCCCGTCATGGTCCAGCCTCTCATGGGGAGCCACTCACCTCATCATCTGACTGAAGGTACATGTGTGTGAAGTCCAGCAACTCCCGAAGCTCAGAGGTCTGGTTGTGGTAGAGCATGGCCTCCTAGGAGGAGGGAGGGAAGGGCAGAGTGAGGTGGCAGAAAGACAGGGCTCAGGGATCAGGGGGAAACGGATCAGCTCATAGAATAATCCTAGTTACTTGGAAGACTGGATTAAGAAGGATTCTGAGGATTCCAGGAGGAAGAGTGCCTCGATCCATTAGTAATGTCTGCCCAGGCATGGAAAGTGGGGATGGCACCATGGGGCTCATAGTTGCCAGCCTTGCCCTAAACTCCCAAGGGGTTTTCTCATTGGTTCAGACTAACAGGCCCCTGGGGGGAAAAGCTCAAAAGACAGCAGTGAGGTGAAGGCAGGCATGTGTGGGCACCTATCTGCATTCCTCCCACATCCCAGACGCTATGCTGAAGCCTAGACTCTAACCACAGCCCATATTCATCTTTTCCCCTTCCTCTCCAGACTTCCAAGGAAGCCAAGAGGTTTTTTTGGTTTTATTTTCTAAACCAAGCCACAAAACTGCACGTTAGGCCGGTGCCTCACTAGAGGCAGTTCCCACCTCCCGGGGCTGGAAATCCTCTTCTTCGAGCCCCCAGCGAGCCCGATGGAAGCGGTAATACACCAGGTTCTGCTGCATGACACTGTCCTTGGGGTCAAAGAGCATGTAGCTAGCAGCACTGCGGGCAGCCTGGCGCACGTCGTTCACTGCGGGCAGGATAGAGTAAGGGGGTAACCCTCATGGTTTCCTTTAAAGGCAATCCCCACTCATCCCATCTCACACCCACCTTCCAACCTAGCCCCGCTGCCTCTACCCCCAGACTCCTCCTGCTGGCTCCTCACCCCGCCCAAAAGAACACCATCCAACAGGCCCTGGGTGTAGCCCTCTTGCCAGGCAGTGTGAGTCACTCCCTGACACCTCAATCCTTGTCATTGGGTTTTATAGACAAAGGATGGGAGGCACAGGGAGATTAGATAAACTGCTTGTACTGGTACTGCTGAAGACTGACAGCTACTGAGGGGATTGGAGATCCTCAGGGCTCTCCGCCACAGCCCTCAGGAGGTCTCCTGGCCCCTGACCTCAGCCCCCCCCCCTCACAGCTCTAGCCCCTGAAGCGGGCATCCCTGAGTTGTAGGAACCCTGGACTGTCCCACTCCAGCCCCAGCTGACGGCACAACCTCTCTGTGACTCCCTAGTCATGGAGCTAATGGTCTCTTGCCCTTTAGAAACCTCCGTTTAATCTGGAGAATGGGTTCAGGGATGCCAGTGGCATGGCGTTGGTGAGAGGAGAGAGATGGGGGCTACAGACACTCTTCAGTGCTGAGCAGTGTCGCTGACCACCCCTGAGAGGGCCTTTACCTTCCCCACATCCCCTGCCTGGGTCCCTGCCCATGTCTCCACCAGCCCTACCTAGCCTTTCATCCCTTCTCCAGAGTCTTCAGTCTGAGAGACACCTTCCCACATTTCTGGGAGACCCCGTGTATTGCCCCTCCCCACGCCCCTTACCCCACTTTACCCAGCCCATCCAGGGAGCTCACATTTGTAGTAGGCAAACTGCAGGTAGTGATACATGGTGGCCACAAACTTCTCCACGAAGTAGCCGCCGACGTTGGGGGTGAGATTGGTTTCGCAGTCCACCTTGCACTGGAGGGACTCTGCAAAGAGATCTAGGAAGGATGCAAACGTTAGGATCCACTGTGTGCTAACCCCGATCTAGGAAGGATGCAGCCGTTAGGATCCACTGTGTGCTAACCCCGATCCCCCGTAAAGACCACGATCTGCCTGTGGAGGCTGTTCCCCTGTGCAAGAGGTTCGTCCTCGTCAGGATTTCATAGGTTAGCGTGTATGAAATGCTTGGCACATAGTACTTGAAGTGGGCTGAGAAGTACTTGCTGCCCGTGACGCCTGTTGCTCAACCCCAATCTGACACCAGAGGGCATTCTGGGAGAAGAGCAGCTGAGAACAGCAGATTAGTTTTAGGTGGGATAGGACTGAGACCATACAGGACCTAAGATAGCCCTTTCTGCTTCACCTTTGCCCTCTATTTAAAAGTATTATTTTGTTATCTTTTAATAATCTATTTCTATTTTGAGTGCATTGGTGTTTTGCCTGCATGTATGTCTGTGTGAGGGTGTTAGATCCTGGAGTTAGACGGTTGTGAGCTGCCATGTGGGTGCTGGGAATTGAGCCCAGGTCCTCTGGAGGAGCAGCCAGTGCTCTTAACCACTGAGCCATCTCTCCAGCCCCACCTTTACCCTCTTTGAGGGGCCTTGTGGTTAGGGATCCAAAGACTAGTTGTGATTTCATTTCGTCCACAACTGCTTTCTGCACACACCTGTCTAGTATCAATTCCAAATCTTTTTTCATTGTGTTGTTCGGTTTGGTTGTTTTCGTTTTTTGAGACAGGGTCTCACTATGTAACTCTAGCTGTTCTGGAACTCACTATGTAGACCAGTGTTATGGAATATTACTTTAACTTTGTAAAGATATGGGGGTTTTTTGAGACGGGGTTTCTCTGTGTAGTTTTAGTTCCTGTCCTGGAGCTTGATCTGTAGACAAGGCTGGCCTCGAACTCACAGAGATCTGCCTGGCTTTGCCTCCTGAGTGCTGGGATTAAAGGCGTGTGCCACCACCGCCACCACCGCCACCACCACCACCACCGCCACCACCACCACCACCGCCACCACCACCACCACCACCACCGGGCTGTGTTACACTTGTTTATGCTGCATTTACTTAATTATGTAAAGGTGTGCTACTGTTCCACTTTGCCTGCCTAAGGCACCTGATTGGTCTAATAAAAAGCTGAACGGCCAGTAGCTAGGCAGTGGAGGGACAGGTGGTGCTGGTGAGCAGAGAGAATGAGTAGGAGAAGAAAACAAGAGAGGAGAGAGAGGGAGACATCTGGGGCCAGCCAGACTCCGAGTAGGACAGAATGCAAGAAAGGTTAAAAAGCCCCGAGGCAAAGCCCAGACGAAAAGAAACAGGTTAATTTAAGCTATAAGAGCTAGTGGGACAAGCGTAAGATAAGGCCAAGCATTCATAACTAGTAAGTCTAGTTATAGACTAACGTGTCATGATTTGGGAACAGGTTGGTGGCCCAAAGACCAGACTGTCCTTGAACTCATAGAGATCCACCTGCCTCTGCCTCCCAAGTGCTGGGGGGATTCAAGTCGTGGAACACCATCCCTCCCCGCTTTTTTTGAGACGAGATTTCTCCATATAGCCCTAACTGTCCCATGATCGGCTATGGATACCAGCATTCCTCTCATTTGACTGGAGACAGAGAAGATACAGCGTCAGAGCACTTTGCTGTGTCTGCCGAATGCTGTGGCTGGTCATAGCCGCGTGTTCCGAGGCCTCGGGAGGCCTGGAAGCAGGGGCCCTATGGGGGAGGGATACGCACGGTGGTCTGAATGGGAGATACCTGCTATGGCTGGGTAGAAGTCCTTGAAGTCTACCTGCTCATGGGCCCCCTCACAGCCGGCTAGACACCGAGCGAAGACCAGCATGTACTCAGCCAGGGCCCGCTCCATGTCTTCTGCGCTGCTGCGGAAGTCCCCACTGTTGTAGAGTTTCACAGCCCGGAGGAACACAGCCTGGAGAGGAGCACGGCAAGGGGGCGTCAAGGGAACCCCGACGGCTAGTGAAGTGTGCGTGGAGGGTGTGTGTGTGTGTAGGAAGGCGCGCCAAGGCCAGTCCACCCTCCCACTCTCTGCACACCTCGTAGGGCTGGGCCTCTAGGTCCGTAAGGGACTCATCTCCGATATCCAGCATCCCCCTGTAGTAGCTGAGATACTTGGCGGTCAGCTCGTGCTTGGGGTTCCTCTGGAGGAAGGTGTAGGCCGCAGCCACCGCCTTCTCCAGTCGGTTCGCCTGGTGGGGGGGGGGCGTGGGGAGTGGATCAGTGGGGCGCCGGACGCGCCGCGGGGCCTCACGTTCTAGGGACCCTCGACGGCGGTCGGGGCCGCGCCCACCTTGAAGTGCGCGTAGTGCAGGTACTGGTAGGGCAGGCGGCTCTGGAAGTCGCGCAGCAGCTGCCGCGGCGGGTAGGGGACCTGGAAGGCGGGCAGCGTCCGCTTGCAGCGCCGCAGGCAGGCGGCGCGCTCCAGGACGTGGCCGAAGAGCCGCAGCTCGCGCGCCCAGTCCTCGCCGCCGTCGCGATCATCGTCCGGGCCGGGCGCGGGCCGGGACTGCGAGGCGGCGGCGGCATCGGGGCCGCTGCAGTTGGCGTGGCAGAAGGCCTCGCTGTCGCGCAGCAGCCGGTGCAGCCGCAGCGCCGCCTCCAGGTAGCGCGCGCTCTCGCGCCAGCTCTCGCCCTCGTACTGCTCCAGAGCGTGGCCGTAGGCCGTGGCCAGGGGCATCAGGTCCTCCGGCGGGAAGCCTCGGAAGCTGTACTTCTCGTACTGCGCGCCGGCGCTGCCCAGCAGCAGCCACAGCAACCCCCAAGCCGGGCGAGCCATGCCCACGCCGCGCCCCGAGGCTCCCGGAGCAGCGGGAGGACCGATGGCTCCGGCCCCCCAACCCCCACCCCTCCCGGAGCTCCTGCTGGGTCTTAGCGCCGGGCCTCGGGCTAGAGCAGGGACGTTGGGACACCCGTCTCTTTCCGAGGGTCAGTTGTAGCTCTAGTCCGCTACGTGGGGTGGCCTTTCCACCCTTGCAAGGCTTACCCCGCCCCTGCCCTCTCCCCCGGACCCGGGTGGGTGGGGCTATATTTTCCGGCCAGAAAGCCCCTCCCCACCGGCAGTGTCCCCCACCTTAAGTTCCACCTCTCTTCACTTTGCCTACGCTCCTGGTGAAGAAGCCTCAGAATCTGGTCTTTTCTTGAGTACCCCCTTTGCACCCTCTAGGTGGCCCCGCAAACACCCGCGCCGGCGTCTAGGGGCAACACAACTCGGGTTACCCCGCACACCTGGCACTGACACCTCCAGCCTCCGGACTGAGCTCGACCCCGCTGTCTGTCTAGCAGCCTGGCTTTTGCAGGACAAAGCTGCCTTTCACTGAGACTGCACTCTCCCTCCTCCAGCCTCCCCTCCCCTCCCCTCTTGGGAAGAAAGTTGGGGCAGGGGAAGGACTGAAATGTCCAGATTAAGGCCTCACCTGGTGCCAGAAGGGGCCTAGACTTGGGGAGCCAGGAAAAGCTAGAGATGCCTCCAACCAGCTTTAGGACCCAGAGGCTCAGGGGGAAAAAAAAAACTTTTTCTTTGGAAGTCCATTCTGACTTCTCATCTTTCCCGAACCTCCCTCTGGGCCAGGCCCGAAGTTTTGGGGGAGGGAGACTCAGAGGTCTTTGTGGCAAATTCCTGGGCCTCCAGAGACTCCCAACCTGGCCCCCTCCTCCTAGTCCACCACAAACTTCACCCCACCCGGCCAGCTCAGTCTCCCCAGCCCCCATTCCACGTGGACCCGCCAGGGCGGGGTGGGGAGAGAGGACAGGAAGGGGGGGAGTCAGCTCTGAGGAGGGGGAAGGAGGCTGGCGGCTGGCGTCCGCCCTCATTGCCAGCGTCTTCCATCTGGGCACCATGTTCTTAGCGGGGTCCCCCAGCCACACCCTCCGCCGGATCCCCATGCTGCAGTGGCTGCTGCTTTTACAGACCTTGGAGAGGGGGGTGGGCCGTGCCAGCCCAGCCGGAGCCCCCTTGGAAGATGTGGTCATCGAGAGGTATCATATCCCCCGGGCCTGTCCCCGGGAAGTGCAGATGGGAGATTTTGTGCGTTACCACTACAATGGCACTTTCGAAGATGGGAAGAAGTTTGACTCCAGGTAAGACGTTGGGCACCCCCAGACTCACCACCACGTTCCCGAGCTTCCAGGGAATGTAGCCCCTTTCAAGCTTTTCATTCCTGTATTCCATCTATAACTCCTAACCCCAAACAGCACCCTGGGAAGGGCTCCTCAAAGGATGTTCCCTATTTTCAATACCAAATCTTCAACTCCTGAAAGACCACCCCCCAAACACACACACACACACACACACACACACACACACACACACACACACCCTCCCAATCCTCCAGAATACTTAATGCTTCGGTGGTGAAGTGCCGTGTTTATTTACCATTTCCTTGTTTAAAGACATGAGCAGTACCCTGGTACACGGTCTTAAGGGAAAAGAGACTCTGCATACTATACGTGAACCCTGGGCTGAGTGGATGGATGGGGCCACCTGCCTTTCCACACACCCTGGCTCCCTGTCTACTTCGACCTCCATTTTTCTATGCCTTTATGTTTGGAGACTAGAAGAAGCAACATTTTCTTTAGGGTATAGGGCCCTAGAGCAGCCAGGGAGGGCCACAAGCAGAGTGGGTGTTATAATTTTGGGGTAGGCCATAGCTGGTGCTGTGACCAACTGTCCACGTGTCACAAGGTCTGACATGCCACCCCAGGGACCTCCCTGCCACTTTCTCCAAGCCTCTGGGAACTCCGTTCCTCCATCTTTGCTTTAGCAGCCCACACTGGGCTGCATGGCCCGTCTTGGCTTGATGGACAGGCTTCCATTCTGACCCAAGCCTTTGGTCAGCCAGGCAGATCCCCTTTGGTTGTTGGGGAAGAGCAGGGCAGTGTGGCAGCTTCTTTCCAGGCTGTAAGGTAAACTTCAAGCCCTATCACACTTGAAACTCTACACCACAAAGAAGAGGCACCCTTCAGCCGCTTCTCTGAAATATACAACTCAGCCCATAAGCAATTAGTGGTCATGACTCGAGGGAGATTGTATATTGGATGAGAATACTATCTCCATAGTGTAAGACCCTGGGTTCAAATCCAGGCAGTGACAGAAGAGGAGGAGTTTTGCCTCTTGAGTCTTCACTTTCTCTGTCTGAAACATGGGAAGGGACCAGCACCTACTTCCTAAGGGTACAAATGAGGAAGGTGGATGACAGTGGCTTCCACGGTGCCTGCAGACATCCAGTGGGTTCGGGACTTATTGGCCTGGACTCTGGGGAGAACCCTCATGGTGTTTATTGATGTAATTTTTTTTTAAAAGATGTATGTATTTAAAAGATGTGTATACAGTGTCCTGTCTGCACATATGCCTGCATGCCAGAAGTGGGCACCAGATCTCACTACAGATGGTTGTGAGCCACCATGTGGATGCTGGGAATTGAACTCAGGACCTCTAGAAGGGCCACCAGTGCTCTTAACCTTTGAGTTCTCTCCAGCCCTGACCAATGGTGTTTAACTCACAGACATTTCGTGCACTGCCCTGGCCTTTATATACAGCACTGTAAAGGAAATAGACCAGACAGAAAATCTGCACTGTGGGCAAAGCGAGGAATAGAGCTACAAGCACAGCCTGGTATCCTTAAAAAAAAAAATAAATAAATAAAATAAAAAAGTTACCACTGCCCTGCGTGGCACATGCCTTTAATCGCGGCACTCAGGAGGCAGAGGCAGGCACATCTCTGAATTTGAGGCCAGCCTGGTCTACAGAGACAGCCACAGCTACACAGAGAAAACCTATCTCAGAAACAGAAAACAAAACAAAAAATATGTATTTATTTTATGAGTATCAGTCTTTTGCCCAAATGTATGTATGTGCACTGGGTGCATGCCTGGTGTCAGAGGAAGTCAGAGAGGGGTGGATGGCTGTGAACCACCACGTAGGTACTAGGACTTGAACCCATATACTTGGCAAGGGCAACAAGTACTCTAAACCGTGAGACATCCTCCAGACTCCTTATTTTGAGACAAAATCTCACGATGTAGCCCTGGCTGGCCTGAGATTACTAAGTAGAGCAGGTTGGCCTCAAATTACAGATCTGCATGCTTCTGTCTCCCAAGTATTAGAATTAAAAGTATGTACCACCATGCTCAGCTCTCTGGCAATAGTGATGGGCTGAGGGTATCTTCCCAGGTAGGGACTGCTTTTTGTTTTGTTTTGTTGAGTTTCTCTATGTAACCTTGGTTGTCCTAGAACTAGCTTTCTAGACCAGGCTGGCCTCAAACTCACAGAGATCCTCCCACCTCTGCCTTCCGAGTGCTGGGATTAAAGGCCCAGCTTGGTGGGGATTGTTTTTGAAAAAAAATTTATTTATTATGTATACAGTGTTCTCCTGCATGTAGTATACCTACATGCCAGAAGAGGGCAACAGATCTAGGTTATAGATGGTTGTGAGCCACCATATGGTTGCTGAGAATTGAACTCAGGTCCTCTGGAAGAGCAGCCAGTGCTCTTAACCACTGAGCCATCCCTCTAGCCCATGGTGGGTACTTCTTAAGCCTGTCTTGGACCCAGGTTTTTTTTTTTTTTGGGGGGGGTGTTTGTTCGTTTGTTTGGGGTTTTTTTTGTTTTGTTTTGTTGTTGTTGTTTTTGTCTTTCAAGACAGGGTTTCTCTGTATAGCCCTGGCTGTCCTGGAACTCACTCTGTAGACCAGGCTGGTCTCGAACTCAAGAGGTCCTGCCTGCTTCTGCCTCTCTAATGCTGGGATTAAAGGTGTGCACCACCACCTCTTGGCTGGGCCCAGCTTTTAAATGTTGAAATTTGCAAACATTTTCACCCCTTGGCTCCGTTCAACCAAAATAGAATATCCTGGGGCTGGAGAGATGGCTCAGCGATTAAAAACACTTGTTCTTGCAGAGGACCTGAGTTTGGTTCCCAGAACTCTCATGGTGGCTCCTAACCATCTGTAACTCCAGTGGGATCTCTGACCTCCGTAGACACCAGACATGGCATGCACATGGTGCATAGACACACAGACAAAACACTTAAATACATAAAATAAATCTTTAAAAAATTAACATCGGGGGCTGGAGAGATGGCTCAGAGGTTAAGAGCACTGACTGCTTTTCCAGAGGTCCTGAGTTCAATTCCCAGCAACCACATGGTGGCTCACAACCATCTATAACAAGATCTGGTGCCCTCTTCTGGCATGTAGGCAGAACACTGTATACATAATAAACAAACAAACAAACAAATAAGCAAACCTTAAAAAAAATAGCCCATTCTTGGGGCTGGGAGTATAGTTCAGTTATTAGAGTGCTTGCCCAGCATGCATGAAGTCCTGGGTTTGATCTCCAGAACCATATAAACTGGGTATGGTGGTATATACCTGTAATCCCAGCATTCAGGAGGCAAAGGTAGGAAGAACATAAGTTCAATGCCATCCTTGACTACATAGAGAGCTCCAGACCAGCCAGGGCTACAAATGACACCTGTCTCAAAGAGCAGGGGTGACTACTGGAGAGATGGCTCAATGGCTAAGGGCACTTGCTGTTCGGTCACTACAAGGATTAGCATCCATATGAGAAACTGGGCATCCTGTGCATACCTAGGGTCAGGAAGAGAACCTCAAAAGGCTAACTTTAGAGTGATAGACGAGGGCACCCAGTGCCTGCTGGGGGCCTCTGCAGGCATGCACAGGTGCACACATCGGTGTGCACACACTCACAGTTATACATGCATATACACATCTCTCTCCTCCTCCTTTAAAGGAAAGAACTCTCTTTTTACTTGTGAAAACAAATACAAGTCAGGGTAATTTTAGAATGGGCCTTCTTCCGAGGAAGGCTGCTTCCCAGCTCACCTCTGGTCACTGGAGAATGGAAGCTTAGGAGCAGGAACTGGGATCTGTGACCTTAGGTAGGATAATGAGTCTGTCAGGCCTCAGTTTCTCTCTTCAAAAACAGAACAAGCCGGGTGTGGTGGCGCAGGCCTTTAATCCCAGCACTCGGGAGGCAGAGGCAGAGGCAGGCAGATCTCTGAGTTCAAGGCCAGCCTGGTCTACAAAGGGAGTTCCAGGACAGTCAGGGCTACACACAGAAACCCTGTTTAAAACCAACAAACAGTGAGAACGGTTGGGATGGAGCTCAGCAGCAGGGTGCTTGCCTAGCATATGTGAGGCCCTGGATTTTGTTCCCAGTATCAGAACAAAGAAAAAGAAAAACTGAAAGCAATAATGTCCTTGTGGGGAGAAAATTCAGTGAAATAACGAATGTAAAGTGCCAAGCACTTAATCTGGCGTATTGTAAGTGCTCAATAAATACTCAATTGTCCTCTGAGCTATGCTATCCGAAGTAGCAATACCTAGCAGACAGGCTTATCTGCTCCACCCATCCTCCTCTCAGGAGGAGTAAAAGCTTCTGGCCTCCATTATTATTATTAGACAAGGTTTCTCTACTTAATTCAGGCTGTCCAGGAACTCCTTATCTAGACCAGGTTGGCCTTGAACTCACAGAGATCCACCTGCCTCTGCTTCCAGGGTACTGGGCCTAAAGGGGTGCACCACCACACCCATCCAACCTGTTATCCCAAGGGGCAGAAGGGCTAGCCCGGGAGAGGAAGTGAAGTGTGTGTGCCTGCACCGTGTCCTGTGACGCG